GACAATGATATATTAAGTAACCTGACTTTCGTGAATTCATTAATTTCGTCATCATTTCATATATTACTTGATGGATAAATACGGAAACCAAGGCCATTGATTAAAGGAGATATGTGGGGTCCTTTATCGTCTCCTTTTCATTTTCTTTCATCATCACTTTCCCCCTCTTTTAACCATCTCTCTCTCTCTCTCTGTGACCCTCTTCCGATTTAGCCGTTCGAAGGGGTGTGGTACGTGGAGCACGTGCTCCCTATACTTCAATTTGTTTTGGAGCCGTTTGCTTTTCGTGTTTATCAATCATAACCGCATCTTTCAGGCTCGAATGTACAAAGGGATTTGTCGACAAACCTAGGTTTATGTGCGTCATATGACGCGTTTCGAAACAAACCTTGGTCTGAAACGCGTCAAAACGCGTCATATGACGCACATAAACCTAGGTTTGTCTACAAACCTTCTTGGAGAATTCGGGCCTGAGAGTATTTTATGCGGAAACTGTCAATATGTTTTACTAACATGCTTTTAACATTTTATAAGGAGGAGAGTGGGTTTTGGTTATCCTAATTAAGCCCAGATCGATGCATTATGATTGGATTTCATGGCTGTGGAAAATCCCCACCGGAAACATCGATGACCCTATTCCAATCGACTCCAAATCACCAATGATGTAGTGTCTCGGCAGTGTTACTTAAAATGTTGAATACTGGTCGTGCGTAATAGCGTAAGCAAATCACTGGAAATGTGTTGGGTATGTACTTAACACTCGATAATTAATATTCAATTGTTTGAAAAATACATATTTCACGTCTGTATGTTTTTTTTCGTCATCTTAATTTTAATTTATTTTTAGACAGTGTACAATATTCTAATGAGAATTAGTTGTTATTGTATTTGTAATTTTAATTCGTTTTCTTATACTCTGTTGTATTGATGTAATTCTTCGTGTTCCTGGAAATAACGTAGAATAAAAGGAAAGTAGATAAATACAAAATATTTGAGGTTGTCCAGAATTATTGCTAGTTGACTAGATTTTTTGGCAAACCATTACACTGGTACTACTGTATGGATAAATAACTAAGTCCGTTTTATGTTTATATTATTCTGTCATTTTAAAGACATAAGCCCAATCCTCTGCTCATCCTGAGCTCATAGTAGCTTGTATGCAATTACCAGGCATAATTAACTTGTATACCCCTAAAACTATCAGCTTCATAACCAATTAAATGAGAGTATAAAGTCAAACAATAATCATGGATTAACAATCGAGTGTCGTCTAAATCCTCTTTTACCAATTTATTCTCATTGATTTTGAGCCCTTGAATAGAAAAGTTATAATGCCACCTAAGACTAAAAAAAAAGAAAAGAATCATTTACAAGCAAACATTATCTTATTCTCTTCTCGCACTCCTTGTTTAAGGCAAGTCTTGTAATTGAGTCATCCAAAATGGATAAAGTTTACGTGGGATGCTACCTAGCCGGGTACGTTACGATTATTTACGATTATTTACAGAGGGGTGCAATTGTGCACCACCCCGTGCACCACATCAAACTCCCCTACTTTAAGTGAAGTATTTCATTGTATTTTGTAGTTTGGTAGGTTTATTTTAATAACTGTTTAATCATCAGATATTAATGATAGTTTAAAGATATGGAAAATGTTCTTGTATTTTATATATAGCAAAGCAATTTCACATACAAATTCACCACCAAGTGTCGTCTAATCCGGCGATTGTCGTCTGCTATAAACGTCCAGTGAGCGAAAATGAGACAACCGGAGCAATATGCAGATGAGCTTCAATTCATTTGTATTTTTTTTAATCTAGAAGCTCTAGAATAATTAAATTTGCTATAAATATGGGGTTAACAGGTATAGAGAATGCAGTTCTGTTGTTATTTCAGCTATTTGGTGTCAAGAAGGGTGCCCCCCGGTGTCACGATTTTGGTAAAATCAAAATGCCTGTCTCATGAAATAGTAAAATTACACAATATAGATAGTATGTCATAGTCAACATTTTGGCCAAATTTGGTGCTTTTGGAACAATCTGAACACAAATATCCCTTACACCCCGACTAATCTTCTTTTGTCAATAGCTTTTGTAGATATCATATTTATTTCTTGCGTTTTACTGAATCTTTGAGGATACCTTATGCATCGTATGCACCTGAAATGAAGTAATGGGCAAGTAAGAAGTGCATGAAAATATGACGAGACAATAGTATTAGGCTGTAAAAGATAATTGAAAGGTTATCCTATGAAAGCTAAGATATATTCAATCACATTACACAATGAATCAAAAACAAATAAAACAGAATAGAACTTTTAAAATGACTTGAATAACAGTGTAACGCATGTATATGAATAGACGCACTTTCGGTGTAACCTTCTAACCTTGGTACAAGGAGATTTTGACGGTACTTGATGCTCTGTCAACAGTGGCAGGAAAAATATGCATAGGGTATCATAAAACTCTTTACCGTGAAAATAGATTCCAAAGTCACATTGACAACGACTTTTTCATTATAAGCTATTAAAATTGGGTATACTTTTCCTTGATACGCACTGAATAATCAATATTTACATATAATATGTTCATTTAGCCAGTATCTTTTAGGACTTGCCATCATGTACCCAGGGGCGTCGCTAGACCTTTTTCCCAGGGAGGGGGGGGGGGGGGGGGGTTGGGGGGGGAGGCATGTAGAGGCCAACGATTACCGACAAAACTAGCCACCAATAACCGACAAAATTAAATGTCCCAATATCTACAAATTTAACCCTATAAACCCGGGGCAGAAGGCTAAATTGTTTTTTCTATGGACTATCTATAGGACTTGCGTATGCGCAAATTGTCATTTTCGTCGACGACATAAATATACGAATTATTTCGTCAACTTAGTCAGCATCATAGCTATATATTCTAATGCAGGCGCGCAGCTAGGATCTTATTTTAGGGAGGGCGGTAGTGAACAGCGAATCACTTAAAGAGCGCGCGAAGCGCGGAAGCTTAGACGTTTCCTTAAAATATTAGGAAAAGAAGACGATTTATTGTACCGTTTTCGACTGTTAATCATTGCTGAATGAAGCTCCCCCCCCCCCTCCCTCCGCGCGAAGCGCGAAAGCTTTGACGTTTCATTAAATTATGAGAAAAAGCAGACGATTCGGTGTACTCTTCTCGACTGAATTCAGTCGAATACTGTTCCTTATCTGAATTCAGTTCTCCCCCTGCCGCGCGAAGCGTGTAAGTTTCTAGCGTTTCATTAAATTATTAGAGAAAGTTGACGATTCGTTGAACCGTGCTCGACTCTTAATCCTCCTCTGAATCCAGTTTTCTTCCCCTCCCGCGCCAAGCGCGGAAATGTTGACATTTTTTATTTAATTAAAGAAAGAAGTCCATTCATTGTACCGTTTTCGACTCTTAAATAAGCCCTAATTGTCTGAATTCAGTTTCCCCCTTTAGCGCGAAAGCTTTGACGTTTCCTTTAATTATTAGAGAAAGCAGACGATTCGTTGTACCGTTTTTGACCCTCAACCCTTGTCTGAATTCAGTTTCCTCCTCTTCGCGCGAAGCGCGAAAAGCTTAGACGTTTGATTTAATTATTATAGAAAGAAGACGATTCGTTGTACCGTTCTCGAGTCGTCCAAATGTAGTTTTCCCCTCCCGCTTGAAGCGCGGAATTTTTTCCTTTTTTTTCCCATCAAAATATAGAGAAAGAAGACGATTCGTTGTACCGTTTTCAAATCTTAATAAGCCATATTTGTCTGAATTCAGTTCCCCCCCCTAATTTTTGGCGTTTCATCAAAATATTATAGAGAAAGGAAGACGATTCATCGTACCGTTGTTGACTCTTAATCCTTGTTTGAATTTAGTTTCCTCGAAAGTTTTAAACCTCTGATTTCTTTAGCTGATATTATAGGAATGTGAAACTTTGAGAAAATACAAGTATTGTAGTTGTAGTCACTCTCAAAGTCGTCACAGAGGATACAAAGTCACAGTTCGTAGGGAAAAAAAACTTGTCGGCTGACCGACAATATACATCTCACCGACTTCAAACTTCTGCATTGATATATCGACCAAGAAAACCGACACAGCTGACCCGACACAGCAACATATTTATCCGTGTCTTTGTTGCTCCCTCGACGAGACGACTCCACCCAACAACCCCCTCTCTCTTTTACTCCCACTCCTTTTCTCTCAGGCTCTTACCTCCCCTCTCTCTCCTTGCTTTCACCCCCCCGTTTCTTTTGTTTCCCTTTTTAATTTTCCTTCTTTTTTCCGTTTCTTTCTTTTCTTTCTTTTCCTTTCTTTCCTCTCCTCCCTCTTTTTTTCTCTTTCTTTCTTCTCTTTTCTTCCCTTTCTTTCCTTTCTTTTCCTTTTCTTCTTTTCTTTTCTTTTCCTTTTCTTTTCCTTTTCTTTTTTTTCTTCTTTTCTTTCCCTTTCCCTCTCTTTTCCCCCTCCCCCTTTTCTCTCTTTTCCCGACGGCAGCGCAATTTTACTGACAATATCCTGACAGGTGGGGGTGTCGCACCTCCACACCACCCTTTGGTGACGCCCCTGCATGTACCTCTGCCATGTCACATCGACACGTATGGCGTTTATGGCATTTAAAATACCAGCGCTCTTCTCCTTTCTTAATCTTTCTTTGCCAGTCACTCTCTTCCTTTTTTCTTTGTTCACCAATTTAAACTTAGGGCCGAAATGACATTAAGCTAACGTTGCAACCCCTCCTATATCAAATTTATGCTGATGTTCTATGCATTCAGCATGCAACCTATGAATTAAAAAAAAAATCCTACGCAAGCATAATTATGTACTCTATTGCCCCCCAAAGGTAATGTCAATGTCGCATTAATGGGGATGAGTTTGTTTGTTTATAAAGATATATAAACCAATAAATAAATTTAATTAAAAATAACAAAATATGTTTATATAACCTAATTCATATTTTCTTATATAACGTAATCATATGTTTCTCTGTATATTCTAGATGTCTCGAAGCTGACAAAGATGTGGGGTGATGATGATGATGATGACAACGGAAGCCGTTTTGCGTATCGTCCTAACTCGAGAGATGACCGTGAGAAGAGAAGACGAAGTGGATTTCGAAGGGATGGGACCAGAGGACAAGGCAGAGGAGGTGTAACGGGTGGAGATAACGTCATGTGGGGAAGACAGAAGAGGAGGGAAGTAAGTCGTGATAGAGAAGACGCCATGAAGGCTAAAAGATTCAGGGGAGATAACTTCCGAAAAGGAAGGGACACAGAAGGAGCGAGAGGAAGGGGACATGATGGAGAGAGAGGAGCTGGAAGGGAAGTTGGAGGCCAAAGAGGCGGTAACAGAGGAGGCCCATTCCGCCAGCGCTACGACAGGCAACACGACGGACAGCGAGGCGTTCGGCCTAGAGGCCGCTGCCAAAGAGGGGACAACGTGGCTCAGAACGCAGCTAGATCTAGAAGAGAAGGCTATCGGACACGGGAAAATACTAGGTAAAGTACAAAATCTTAAAGGAGTGAGTAACATTGCTGAAAAGGATTCACTTCCTTTCTTCAAGATAGATCGCTTTGCATGTTTTGCTTCCTTAGGCCTCTATGAACCGATATTCTTTTACACATTATAATACGTTGCAATGAATATTTTTGTAACAGGTAAATAGGTTAAAATATTTGTTTATGACGACACCTAGACCTACTTGTAATAAAGTAGAAATTAGTCAGTTTAGTAGAAATTGTACATACAAATCCCCGTAAATGTTGTATTCAGTACTTTTTTTCAGCGAGTTGACACATTTGTTTAACGGTGAGTTGAAAAAATAACACTTAAACTTTGTGTCAGTCTTGAAATGTATGAAAGGCGGTAGGTAAAAGTAAGAAAAAAAAGCTCTTCGTGACATGAATATGAATCAATCTAAATATATTCACATCATTTATTTCTACCATTTCAGATATGGACAGACCCAAGGAAAATACCCAAATATCCAAAGTAACTTCAGACCACTAAGTTCCACACTTCTCATCGAAATACTTGAAAAAGACCCTTCCGAGGCCGCTACAGAACTTGGGTCCCTAAAAGGAAGCCTTCAAGCCAGTCTCAATGAAGACTTGATGAATGAGGTACAACAGCATCGTCTTTGGGGGGCTCTAGCATTTATTTGCGGAGCTCTAGGTACAGAACAAACAGTGATCATGCTCCTGACAATGGCCCTCGAGTCCAAACTCTGTCGTCAGCATTTACTCACGTTTTTGACCAATCTCAGGCGTCCAAGAGAGAACATCGACGGAAGACGGTTAAACCTTTTGAAGAATGTCATCACTGTCTTCCACTCAGCCATGCAAAGTTTGCCAAGCCGTGCTTCAGATCTCAAAGTTGCAGTCACTCTCATCTCCGATGCTGTAGCAGACATGGATGAAGACGACAAACGTGATGACATCATGGAGTCAATAAAGTCGTTGAGTAGTCACAATGAGGACATTGAAAAAGAAAGGGAAAGAAAGAGACAGATGGACCACATTTCTGAGAACCCACCTCCTGACGACTTCCGCCAGCAAGACATTCTTCCCACTGTCAAGGAATTGCAACCCGGATATAAGCCGTTTCTCCGTCCTCATCTGACTAGGGGTGTATATGCCGATGCAGACCACTACCTGGATGTTCAGTTCAGACTCCTGAAAGAAGACTTCGTCTACCCTCTTCGCAATGGGATATCAGAGTACTTAACTTTCAAGAAGGCGAACCCTGAAAGAAGGGCCAAACTTCAGGATGTGCGAATCTACGAGGAAGCCCATTACGTAAAATCTGTCCGTGATTTCTCCGGAATTTCACATTACATGGCCTTTAAGAAGTTACCTCGTGTCCGATGGCAATCGACAAAACGACTCATGTACGGATCATTGCTCATCCTATCAACGGATGATTTTAAGTCCTACGTATTTGCTACAGTGGCCAAACGGGACGTAGAAGAATTAGAAAAGGGAATGGTAGCTATAGCATTGGTCGACCAAGAAGATGCATCATGTCTACATAATAAGAGTTTTGTGATGGCAGAGTCCTCTGTCTTCTTTGGAGCTTATCGCCCAGTTCTCCTGGGTCTCCAGCGAATGTCTGGCCCATACTTGCCGTTTTCCCAATACACCTTGAGCATGTTCCATGATGTAAAGCCACCCAGGTATCTCCAAGATTTGATGGTAACTGAAGACGGTGAAATTCCATGTAGTATTGATATCTCACCTCTGCTGAAAGGCATACCACGATGCTCTCCACTAGTTGATGTGCCTGGCGATGGTGCTTGGCCTGATATTGACGATGTACAGCTCGACCAATCACAATATGAAGCTGCCAAGACTGCTCTCACCAAAGAACTTTCTGTCATACAGGGTCCCCCAGGTACTGGCAAGACTTTCATAGGTCTGAAAATTGTAGAGACCCTTCTCCTCAACAGAGAAATCTGGTCAAGTGAAGAGAAACCTAGCCCAATATTACTTGTGTGCTGCACAAATCATGCACTGGATCAATTTCTGGAGGGGATCTTAACATTAAATTGCTCTGGCATCGTACGAGTTGGAGGCCGTAGCAAGAGTGAGCGGTTGCAGTCGTTGAACCTTAAACGGATGGTTGGTCGGAGGGGACTACATGGTGAAGAGTACGTTCAACGAAGGATTCGTCATGTCAAGAAAGAAGTTGACGCTACAAAGAGACGTGTGGAGAGAACGCAAGCCAGAATAGAGGGTGCAAGAAATGGGATCATCAACGAGTACGAACTAGGCCCGTTCATGTCATGGCAGCATTACAACAGCCTCCTGCGTCTTTCTCATTTGAAACAGTTAAACTCCTGGCTCGTAAAGTGGCTTCTCTGTGACTGTGAATATGACAGGGATTGGAACCAGCAAGCAAGACAGGATACACTAGAACAGAGAAATAACCAGCAAGGAGAAGAGAGGATAGAAAGCACAAAGCCTGATCCTGTGCCAAATGAAGCAACAGTTAAGGTAGAATCCGAACGAAGTGCCATCGAGTCTGAAAGAATGATTGATGGCGAATATGGTAAGGAAGATTCTGATGAAGAGGAAGACGAAGACTACCCTTTCCTAGGCCTTGACTTAAATGATCTGAACAAAGCAGAGGACGGTATCTTGCGGAGGTTCATCCAAAGGAAGATGTCTGGCAAAGATGTTCTCGATCCAGGTGCTCTTCAATCAATAATGGATATTTGGAGTATGTGTTCAAATGACCGCTGGGCACTCTACCATATTTGGTTGCATAACTACCTTCAACAGTTGAAAGGAAAACTGCCAGCCTATGAACTCCAATTCAAGAAATCTTGTGGTCAGCTTGGTGAAGCTAAAGACGTAGAGAAATACCAAATCCTTCGACAGGCAACTATAATCGGTATGACTACAACTGGAGCAGCTAATCACCAGCAGGTTTTGCAGAGAGTCCGGCCAAAGATTGTAGTAGTTGAGGAGGCAGCTGAGGTACTGGAGGCACACATCATCACGGCATTAAATGCATTCTGTCAACAGCTCATTCTCATTGGAGATCATCAACAACTTAGACCAAAACCGAACGTGTACCACCTGGCCGAGAACTATCATCTGGACGTTTCATTGTTTGAAAGACTTATCAACAATGAATTTCCTTACTCACAGCTTGAGCTGCAACATCGGATGCGTATCGAACTGTCGAATCTGATGAGAAGGCACTTCTACAGCAACCTTCGCGACCATGAAACGGTGAAGCGATACGAAAGTTTGAAAGCAGTTCAAAAAGATATCTTCTTTCTAGATCACGCGGAACCAGAATATGAAATGGAAGATACACAGAGTCACTACAATCTCCATGAAGCCAGACTCGTAGTAGCGTTGTGTAAATACTTCCTGCAGCAGGGGTATGAACCTGATAAGGTTACAATCCTCACAGCTTATACAGGTCAGCTACTGAAAATCAAACACATGATGGATCGTAGCAACTTTGAGGGAGTCAAAGTTACCTCAATAGACAGCTACCAGGGTGAAGAGAATGATATCATTCTTCTGTCATTTGTGAGGAGCAACAATCATGGGCGCATTGGATTCTTGGGGATTTCGAACCGAGTCTGTGTCTCATTGTCAAGAGCAAAGAAAGGGCTCTACTGCGTTGGAAACTTCACCCTCTTTGCAGAAAAGAGTGATCTATGGAAGGGAATAGTGAAAGATCTAAAATCAATGGGATCTATCGGAGATTCCCTTACGCTGCAATGCACCAATCATCCAGAAGAGAAGACAGCGGTGAAAACTGCCGATGACTTCAAGAAGGTACCACTAGGAGGATGTAGTAGAGACTGTGATACCAGGCTTGATTGTGGACACGTTTGTCGATTAAAGTGTCACTCAGCGGATCTAAATCATCTCGTTTACAAGTGCAAGGCTCCTTGCTCCGAGGTTATCTGTGAGAAAAACCACAAATGTCCAATGCTATGCTCAGATCTTTGCTCGACCTCTTGTTCAGTTATTGTGGAGAAGATTCTGCCCTGCCGTCATGTCTGCAAAAGGGAGTGTAATACCGACATTCAGGTCATTATGTGCGAGGAAAAGGTTGACAAAACCTTAAGTTGCTCACACGTCCAATCTCTTCCTTGCCACATGTCAACGGCGGGACTTGAAAAAGAGTGCGAGGTCATCATCAACAAGGAACTGCAGTGCGGCCACAGAAAGACAGAGAAATGTAATGGAAGTGGTCGATGTGATGAGATAGTCTTACAAGTTCTGGGATGTAACCATACCTGCCAAGCAGCGTGCCATAAAGATCCAAAGAACATCAGATGCGAGGAAAATGTTGAGAAAACCCTACCATGTGGACATATGCATGCTCTTCTCTGTTCCGAAAGTATTGACAATTTTAGGTGCAATACAATTACCAGAAAAAATCGTTCATGTGGACATGAAATCATGGAGAAGTGCTGCCATAACAGTAAATGTTCCGAACTTGTAGAGAAAACCTTGCTTTGCGGTCATAAATTTGAGATGAAGTGTTCGACCGAAGTTGAAACAGTAGTATGCGAAGCAAAGTGCGGTAAGCAGCTTCCATGTGACCACACTTGCAAGCAAAGGTGTGGGGTGGATTGCACTGAGAACTGCACAGAGATGATCACCAGAGAGGACTGGCCATGCGGTCATAAGGTAACCGTTAAATGTTGTGATGAAAGCGACGCATGCTACATCGCCTGTGAGGAGATCTTGATGTGTGGTCACAAGTGCAAAGGGACCTGTGGAAAATGCTCACAAGGTCGTTATCACCACCCCTGCATTGAGACGTGTAAGAAAAAGCTGGTGTGCGGACATGAATGCGCCCTCAATTGCGGTGCACCATGTCTTTCATGTGAAAAGAAATGTCCTCGGCGTTGTCGCCACTCGCAGTGCAAGCATCCGTGTAGTGAACCATGTGATGTTTGTACGAAACGATGCAACTGGAAATGTAAGCATTACGAGTGTAAGACGTTGTGCTGCGAACCTTGTGACAGACCCCCATGCAACAAGCCCTGTCCAAAGAAACGGAAATGTGGTCACCCTTGCATCGGCTTATGTGGTGAGATCTGTCCCAATAAATGTCGCATCTGCGACGAAGAAGATTTGGAGCAACGTTTCTTTGGGACCGAAGATATCCAGACGGCAAGGTGAGCTGAATTTTATAGAACTATCCTTTTAGCAAATAAATCAAGGAAGACGCCTACAACATACAACACATATGTAAAGAGATGACGTTGAATATTTTAATTGCTACGTTTTTCATAGAAACTGCATTTCACAATATAGAGGAACCCCCTTGTAAATTTCCTGCTTAATTTCATCATTACCACTACATGCCTCTGTACAAGAAAGACTATTGAATGTCAATGGAATAAGATATCATTGCAGTACTTCGATAATTCGTCTAGATTCATATTGCTCTTCATGCTCCTTGGAGGATAAAATTAAAGTATTGGAAAAGAATTAGAACCATTAAAAACCATTCCTTAAAACTATATGAGAATATGCCAACAGCAGAGCTAGATCCGTGCTTTCACACATTTCAAAATTTCTTTTGCTACGTCTAAAGGTACATTCAACTAGAAGACTGTGGACATTACTTTGAGGTAGGAGAGCTTGACAAGTTCCTTGGACTAAGCACACAATCCGACGGTGCAGGAACATTTACCAAATTATCGGTAATACTACAACATTTGTTTGTATTAATTATTAATTAATTTTTCTTTTGAATTTGGGTCGCTTTATCGTTGATTACGACACACCTCTAATCTAAAAAGTACATGCATGTGTAAATGTGTTAAAAGTAGACTAACAAGGATTTGGCCTAATTCATATAACACGTGCAGTAAGAATTATTCTTTTAACTCCTAAATTTGTTGATGTTTCAGTCACTTCGGTGTTAATTGATTACTGTGACACTGAAATTAATATTGGTTTTTATTTTGTTTCATTTTAAAGGTAAAAACCTGTCCAAGATGCGAAAAACCCATTCAGTTCAGTCGTCGCTACAGTAATATCCTGAGAGAATCTTCAGCGATTAAGCCGCGAATCGTGGAAAAGCTACAGGATGCTCGCAATAGCAATGAAGACAAACACCTCCTCCATGAAGTCAACTTAGCCGTCATGTCGGCGAGACAAACCATTCAAATTTTGTCACTCCAATCGTCAACAGCGATCTACTCAACGCAATTTGGGGCATTGGTAGAGAGTAGAAAAATGATAAACCGGCCATTTTTGAACAAGCTTCATGAACTTCTCCAGGTATCAACAGAGGAACTGCACAGGCATAGCGAGTCGTCACCGAATGTGCTCGTAGATCAACGCGCAAACGATCTCTGGAATGAGATGAATCGAGTGACTATCATGTGTGACTTGGCCGAAGTATTGAGGGAAGGAGCAACAGAATCAACCGAAGTACCCAGACTTCTCAATATCCTAGACCAGGACAGGAATATGACATCAGGACATGTCATCCTTAACGAAATTCGCACTGTAAATGGGATGAGCCATACTGGCAGTAGCCTACGGACTTCTAAACGCCCTTCTCGTCTTTCCTTCGACGTAAACATGTGGTTTACTTGTGCCAAAGGACATCCCGTTTCGAATGATCAGCTCAAGGAGGACGCGTGCGAGGACTGCGTCTTGGAGAAGGATGAGCAGGAAAGACCCCGCTCCGAGGTTTCTGCAGCTGTAGGACAACCGGATGACCAAAGACAGAATGTGCCCAGTCATCGAGGTGTCGGTAGTCAGCAAGGCCAGCGGGGTAGGGGACGAGGACGTGTAAGAAGAGGTCGAGGTGGAAGGGGTGGTCACAAGAGAGACTACCAAAGAAACTATGGCCCGTTTTATGCCTGAATATGCGATCAGAATGTTCGTACATAAGATATTGCTAGACATTTTGCAGGAAGATGTATATAATCGATATAAATCACGGTTTATGAATCCTACTGACCTTCGTATGAAAGATGTTTTACCCAGATATGCTTTATTGAAAGATCGTAATTGATTCGAGCTACATGTATAATATTTTTCATTGAGATGAATAACGCCTGAGCAATAAATTGATAACGAATTCGAAGTATACTGATTTGCCGAAGTCTTTTTAATCTGTTTAGAATGTATTGGTTTCAGTATACTTTATTCAAATTATTTTTCATGAATTATTTTAAGGACTTATGACAAATATGAAATATATGAAAGAAAAGAACTTATGAAAGATATTCCATGTGCTTTGTGAGGTATAAATAATCGTTTCGTAACGTATGTAAATATTCTTTATATTTTCTGTTTTTATTTTAATTGGACCAATTGTTTAACCCCACCTTTTCCCTGTTTAATGATATTAAATAATAATAAAAAAGTTACTTATAAAGCGCTTACCACCGCCGTCTCTAAGCGCTATTAATACTTGAATAGTATGGTAGAAATATAGAAGAACGCAGAAAAAGTACATGTCTGTATAAGAATACAAATTCGTATCAATATGTTGTAAATAGATCTTCACTTTCTTGATCTTCAATCAAGATGCACTTAGGTGTACACTAGTTTAAGAATTTGAATTTTTGAAATATATTGATCGTATCCAACAGTTCAAAGTTGTTTTAATGCAATACTGTACTAGAAGCCCTACCGCAGAATCCCTTTTAGTGCCATGTCAAGTCAACGGTAGCAGTATGGTGTCGTTGGTTCTCGCAGCGAAGTGGAAATCAATTATTTGATTATACACCGTTGGCAAGTTGACCGTGAGAAGGTTCTGTGCAATTACTAGTATGCTAGAACAGAAAGTTCATCAATTCAGGATAGCTTTAAGTTAAGATGGCACACATGGGAACATGTTGTTGTGTTTAATATGCAATGTTGATAAGGCTGAACAGTCTGTACACTTAATTGTGTCTGAGAAAGGCGAATTATGAAATTTAACATATGAATTTCACTATTGGTTGGTATTACATGAACCACCATCCTACTAAGAAAACGCATTGTAAAGCATTGTTAAAAATCACGACTTTCCCATTTTATCCCTCAAGATGTAAATAGAAAATTGATTTACATGAAGGTTATTTTGTGTAAATCATTGATTCATGCAGTTAGTTTTCATGTATAAAGTTTATTTGACTACTCATGCTTTTTTTGTAATTGATAGATTTAATTAGAATCAATAATACTGTTAAGATAAAAGAGTTATGTATACTCCTTGGTCATTCAGCAGTTGACAAATATGTATCGTATCTTTAGAAATATTAGAAAGAATCGTGACACATTGGTACTGCTTTAATAAATTGTATTGGTAGATATAAGCACTAAAAAATATATAGAATAACAATATTTTTTTTATTATGTATAGATATCAAGATTTTCATTTAAGGTTTTGTGACATTCTTCACTACATAAATTTCCATCATCTCATACTGGTGATCTACTATAATTAGCGTTGTTGAGGTTAAGAAAAGAAAAGCAACGTATTAGATGATAGCCGATCAAAGAATATACTTCTAAATTGAAGAATTTTTGCTGATGACAAGTACTAAAATATTGAAAAATTACTCTCATTATCAGAATTTGGGAATAAAGGTTAACATTACTGTACATTATATTGATTTTCTATCCTCACGGTCGTTTATTATAATTGCAATTTTATAATGAGATTTATGCAACCTAGGTTTAAACTCCCAAGTGTTCATGAAACGGAACAGTAAAACAATATAATCTCCCTTTTTTTGTTTGCACCAACCTTTCATGTTTGATATGTGTGGAGTCCCATGTACTCATTTTTGTTTGCGGTGCTTGTGACTTTTCAACAATGTTGAATCCAATTTCTTTTCATTTTTATCGTTTCGAACTTGACAGCATACATCAAGTCATATGTAATGCATGATCAATTTCATTTCCGATTGCTTCTCGGCAGTTTCGTTCACATGACTATAGAACTCAGGATTTCATTTTTGTTGCTGTTGTTAAGAATCAGGTAACGAATCACAAAATAAATAAACTTGTTATACCTCTCTCCGAACATTTCTCTACTTTTATTTTGTATTGTGGGAGGGAACATCATACATACGATGCAATAACTGTTTTTGTCTGTTTGTGTTTTTGTTGTTGTTGGGGGTGGGGAATCTTAGAGGCTTCAGCTCATTTCAACATGGAAACTACCAAATATTCTTTCAACTGTCATCTCAAACTCACAAAGCGAGGTGGTTTCTTTCTCATTTGAGGGGGTGGGGATCGGAATGGTGATTTCAAACATCGTGGATATAATTTGCATTGAGTCTTCTTTCAGTCAAAACTGGAGAGATGATAAATCATAATATTATTGTATAGGAATCCTGGATGACGGACAGGTGCTGAACAGGGGACTCATTGGTTTGCGTAGTTTTCAGAGGTGTACGGGGGATTTCCCTCAGTCGAATAATAGAGGAAATAAAAAAAGAGAGAGAGAGAGGGACGAAGAGAATGAAGGGGGGGGGGGTGCATGTGGTGAAAAGAAGGTGATGTGACACTTCTCCACACTCTTTCTCAATCGCTTGACGTTATAATCCGCATGCCTTCCACCAAGTAAATACAACAACCAAACTCGTAGCTTCGACCACTTCCCCAACATTATGCCTAACCCGATACCTTACACTTAATATTATCTGGGATAAAATAAGCATCTGGAGCAAAGGTTGGCGGAACACTGCCGGGATTATCTTATCTGGGATTTTTTTAAAGGGAATAATTATTGTCCAAGGAAGCTTATTTTCTCATAGACGATGATGTTTAGGGGGTAGTTGTGCCAACTTGTGCGATGTTACTTGCCCGATGGCGGTTGATCTTCGATAGTTGCCCGATGAGGCACACAAATCATTAACTATGCTTATTTATCGAGATTTTTCGTTAGTACGCTTATTTATTAAGTTATTCCGCAGTTTTTCTTTTCCCTTTGACAAGCGTAAGAATAAACCGTATATATTATTTTAGTGGGTGCACGGCACACAAGAAACCCTCGTTTATTTACCATTGATAGGTAGAGCAAGGCAACATTCATAAATCATGGAATATAAATTCGGTATTTGGACTTTGACCAAAATAATATTACTTCCGAACGCTCATATTTTACAATGCATTCTGGGATAAAAGTTGTATACTGTATGAAATTGACATCATATATAAATAGTATAGGCTTTGGCAAACGAGGCGGAGGCAGCTGCAGCATTCCCCCCCCCCCCCCCCGCGGCTTCCCATAATCACATCATGATACTGAATACTTAACAAAATTAAAACTTATACATAACATATACCTAAATTACAAATTGGAAACCTATGTATTACTCGATATCGACAAATCACATAATAGCTAAATACACGGAAATCATAATAAACAATAGTAGCCTCGTGATTGAAGAAGGTCGGTATAAGAAAATAACGCTAATCTTAGGTTATGCCCTTTTTTAAACTGAAGTAGAGGTTGAAATACACTTCAAAATAAAATGTACTCACTTAGAAGATCCCAGATTAAAAATATGCTCTAAAATTAACAATATAGTTCCGGACTTTAAAAACCTAAACGACCATAAGAAATTTAAACAAATGATGTCCAATGACGAAACCGACATAAACGCAATAATTATATTTGGAATGGGGGAATAGAAATGAAGAAACGTACTAAAAAATAATAAAGGAAGTGCGATAGCAAAATTTCATTTTGATGAGAGAATTACATAGAGTTTAAATAAATTAATTTGACTGCTCAGAGAAGGGTGTTCATCATGATTTTTCACTTTGTAAGTGTACGCTCTAATTATAAGAGAGACTTTTACATTATGCTTGTACATGCGTCATTATTGCATAAACCTGAAAAATATACTGTATTATGTTAACTTTGTTCTGTAAACTGTGTAAGCAGGAAACTCCCTGGTGTAAGGTTGACTATACTGTATTCTGATCAAAGCATGGTATAAATAAATTCAGCCTCGATGCAAGCATACGTTAATGATGACATAAGCGAACTAATCGCGAAAGGTCATGGTCTTTCAATTCCGGGTGAATCGCGTCAGACATCACGCGACACATAACAATAGGGACTTTTAGATTTGCACGTCGACATCTTTGACTGCAACGTGTGACGTCATTTTAAGGCACTGCGCATGCATTGCGTCGTCTCAGTCGGCGATCGAGAATGCGTCAACCTTGATTTTCCTAAATCTAGTACATACATACATATTGGTATTTGTATAGCGCCTTTACATGCTCAAGGTACTAGTATGTCGCGAGCGCATAAAATATACAGTTCCTCAGGTAGACAAAGGAACATCCCTTCCCTGCTATTATGTAAAAATGTGTAGAACAGGTGTCACATGCATATTCACCTCTTCTACACATTTTTACATAATAGCAGTGAAGGGATGTTCTTTTGTTGAGGGTAGAATGAGGAACTGTTTACTTTGTACTCTTTCTTTGTCCGTGATGTTCATAGTGTTACTTCCTGCATGCATGTATCGTCGAGTGCAATCTAAAAGATTTCTAATTGTAGTCAACATGGGCAGTTAAGTATGTTGACACGCATGATCAGTCGGCGTTCGTCGTGTTCTCGTTCACTCAATCTAAAAGTCCCTAATACTGCATGTAGGGCGTGCTCTGTTGGAATACCAGATAATGATTACACGCAAATGAATACAAGCATACTTGTAGATTGTTGTATAGTTTTCAATTGCAATCATGAAACCACGCTGTACATTTTTTGCTTAAATTCATTGAAACACTGTTCTTATGGAGAGTGGGGGGGGGGGGGGGCGGGGAGGGATTTAAAAGAAAAATCATAATAATAAATGCCATGCAGAATTTATACACAACAGTATCGCATTTGAAATAAAGAAATATCAATAAAAACAGCTTTGTAAAAGAAAAGTGGAAAAAGTACACCTCAAGAACAAAGAGGAGTTTGGGTGACAGACCATTCATTATATCATTCATAATATATAAATCTTGGTAGGCCTATTAAATTGACGTCCGTAAAATTATGACAGCTCCTGTACTGTGGAGGTGTTGTGGTATAGTGGTTCGTTCACTCAACTCTCAGTGACTTGTCGTAGGGTTCGAATCCCAGCCCAGCACTAATGTCTTTTGGCAAGATATTAATCCACACATGCCACTCTCCACCTATATGGGCAAATGGGTACAATATTTTATAATTTATTTCTTCCTCTTCTCTTTCCTCTTCTTCTTACTGTTGTTATTATAATTTTAATAGTCATTAGTTAATGGCTATGAATCTAAGTAGAATTATCAAGGCCAAGCTATTTTTAGACATTGCGATGACATGATATTATGTGAAATGACTAATTATGAACAGCCTTCACGCTTTACACCTATTTCGTGACTATTGGCATGCATACAGTCACTGGGGATTTTTGATACGTTGAATTCCCTAGGTCTAATAATAAAGTGTGTCTTTGAGGCTGTTCACACCGCAATGAGATAGCGCGGTCTATCGTAGCACCCCCTTTTTTCTAGCGCGCGCTAGCCCGCGCTATCTCTCGTGGACCACCCCCAAGAGGTGCTCCAGTGTTGGCTCGCCGTGACTCGCTGTTGGGCGGACCGAAACGACGTTGTACCTTCCAAACCGCGGAGATAGCGCGGTCTAGCGCGCGCTATCTCTGCCGGTGTGAACAGCCTCTTTGATACGCTAGACACGGCCCAGATCAGACAGACGATAACACTCCCATTCTCATGTCAAACCACTTCGTTGATTGACGTCTTTTTTATATTATGTCCAACAGTCCGTAGAAGTCAATGACTCTGAATGGTAGGCTTCTAATAATTTAAATTCAATGACTACAGAATATTCGTTTGACCGAAAAAGCCGTCATAAGGGGCAACTTACATCAGTTTTCAGAGGTATCGCCCTTACTGTTATTCACGGCGCTACGGGGAAATCGCCGCTTGAACTGTTGCTCGATATTTCGAACTGTTGCTCGATATTTCCCCCTGATGCCAGCGTGGAATCAAATGGGAGGATACTCCTGATGTCATCAGAGTATTGGTGATCGGTGAGTTTGATAGTTGTTTTTAATCATTTGCTCTAAGGATTAACACCGACTCGGTACATGAACAGGACAGATTTTTAATCAATAATCTGTTGTTTTCTAAATATTTTCTAATATTACTAAAGGAATATTGTGAAGGAATTAACAAAACGAAATAAAATACTGGTGCGATATGTACGGGGTAATACTATGATTTTGAGCAGTACTGATGAGCAGGGCGTCGCTAGACCTCTTCCAGTGGGGGGAGGGTTTAGAGCCCACCGATTACCAACAAAACTAGCCAATTACCGACACCTACACTGTTGGTCATAATGGTTGAATAATTATTTTTTCCCCAATTTATTGAATGATTTTGACAATGATTTATCCCTAATAGATCTAGATAATACTATTCATTCTCAGATTTTATTGAACGACAATTGGGGAGTGTTTGTTTTGCGTGACTGTTAAAGCATGTGTGTGCTACAATGCTAATCAACTAGGGGACCTACGTCCTTAAGTCATAACTGACAGTAATGGGGATTAATACCTCATAAATGGGCACTAATATAGCACATCGACACGGTTTTGATCCTGGGGGCTCACAGTAATGAGGCTATTGCTTAGCCAAAGAATCATGACTGTACGCAGCGGGCGCTAGGGTAAGTTGACGCCCCCACAAAAACAAAAAAACTAAGAAAATGCAATAAATTTTCAATAATTCATTGCATTTTGCCCCGAACCCCCCAAAATAAAATCTTCTATGTGGGCA